TATATTTTTCTGAATTTTTTAGAAATTTTGGGGCAGTAGCGGCTATAGGAGATCTTTGGCATTTCGTTTGAATTCAAAATTACCACTCAAGGGCTCTTGTAGACAAATTCACATGGAAAATAATCACAGCATTGACTCAAGAGGTGCTTTAATCGTATTAGAAGGTTTGGATCACTCTGGGAAGACCTTACAGTCTAGCAGACTACTATCATACTTGGAGGAGCTAGGACATTCTGTTGAATCATGGCGGTTTCCGGATAGAAAATACCGGCGTTGGACAAATGATTTCATCATATCTTTCCAATAAGTCGCAGTTGGATGATCATGCAAAATCCATCTCCTCTTTAGTGCAAATCATAGGGGAAAGAGGTTTGTTTTGTTATCCGATGCATCATGATTTGTACTGCTGAGTATGAATGCATATAGAAACTTGATCTAATCCCACAGATATGTTCACTTGTTGTTTCTTCACATGTGAAGTATTTATTGTGATTGTCCTGCTACGTTTAATACTGAAACTCTCAGAATTGTTCAATGTTTATATAATCTGCAAACACGTCAAAAGCGACTCTTTGTAGAAGTTTCAGTAGATTTACTTATCTTTTATTTTTTTGTAAATGACATCTTTGTGTTAAGTTTAGATGAGTGTCAAAATAATAGATCTACAGTTCTAACCATAAAGTGGATTTTCCACTGTTGTATATTTGATTGGTTATGTGCAATCATGCCTTGTCATTATAAAGGCCGTCCGGCCACTTGTTGATTTGGAGACTGTAATACTAGCAAAATGAGAATATGTGGAGCATCTTTAGTCACTTCAGCCCATTGGTGGATCTAATGGTAAAATATTGGGCTACAGGTTTCAAATATTTGGGTCTCCCTTTAGTAAAATTTTAATTGTTGGATTTCTACCTACTTCACAACTTTTAGCTCCCTTGATTGATGGGGATCGAATTGGGCAACGGGCAATGAGCAATGACCTCCTTTATGGTCTTTTTATAGCTCCCGAAAGTCCTGTCATGAATGAATGGAATGAACATATTCTTAATGTACTTAATCATCAACAATGTGTTTGTAGATCATTAATGGAAAAGAAGCTGAGGAGTGGAACTTTCCTCATTGTTGACTGTTATTCATATTCTGGGGTAGCTTTCTCATCGACCAAAGGACTTGATATTGAATGGTGTAAGGTGAAGAAATTCTTCATGTTATATATAATATTGTAGTTTATTTCTTGGAGGTAGTGGAATACTGCGATCTGTTTGTGCGGGCTCCAGAGATGGGGCTACTGGCTCCCGATCTGGTATTATTCCTAGACATACCACCAGAGGTAACTCATTTTTATACCAATATTTCAATTGTGTAAAGAAGTTGAGGATTATTGTTGCTTATATGTGGTTTGTTGTGAATTTGTATGTTGCATGTTGTATTTTGTCTTTTTCAAGAAATCTGCTAAATTTGATGATCCTTTTGTGGACTTATCATGCCATCTTTCCTGATTACCTCATTGCTATCCAGAAAATCAACAGTTGATTGCATTTATGTTTCCTGTTTTCATTAAATGAAGTTTTAGCAATTCTTCTGGCTTATTTTTTGCACGTTTTTGATCCAAATTAAACAGATGTTAGGCTAACTAAAAAGTCATGTTTGGGATTATCATAATGCCACTGAAAGAGGAGGTTATGGAGATGAGAGATATGAGCAACTTGAGTTTCAAAAGAAAGTTGTGCAATCGTATCAGATCCTTTCTGATGCCGTGAGACAAAAGTTACGTAGTTTGTTTCCTGGGTCTGATGCCATCCTGCAGGTGTCACCGAAGACCTCATCATAACTCATTTAACTTTGTATATGATATTTTCGAGCCATACAATGGAAGATCTTTCATATTGTCCATTTCCTTGTGGAAAGTGCATATTTTTTTCTGTATATACATCTGTTTACTGGTTAAATTCTTTCCACGTCCCAACAAATTTGCATGTGAAATGGATAGACGGCTGCCTTCCCATTGAAGATATTGAGAAACAGTTGAGGGAGATCGTTTTAAGCTGTGTGAAGGTGTGCCAAAATGGAAAACCTCTTTCACTGCTTTGGTCAGATAACTCTTTTAGCTCTTGAAAATTTGAAATAAATGATCAGGGCTCTTGCAGCTAGAGGATAATGTTGGATAAAATATATTCAAAATATACATATATTCTTTTTTATTGATAAATGGACCTTTCACTTGCTGATTGATGGATCAAGCCTCTTTAAACGGAAGCCTAGAGCGTCTGGGCCCGTGCCCAACATGAAGTGGGCTGTCAAAAAGAGTCCAGACAACATCTGAAGTAACAGATTCTTTATTTTATTCTTACAACCCAGACACTTCTACTAGTGATGTTAGTATCATTCTCTACTCCTGTAGCTCTTATTAGACTCCAAGATCTCAATTCTATTTGAGGAGAATCAGTTTTCTCTTGTAGGTTTATATCCCTTTAGAATGCCTTATAAGCCCTTCTATGAACACAAGGATAGCAAACCACTAATCACACTTCTTTCCCAAGTCTAGAATCATCAAATGTCGATTGAAACCTTAATAAAATCTACAGAATGGGACCAAAAAAGTCCAGTCTGAGAAGCTATGCTCTGATCAAACGGAGCTAATAGACTGGCCGGATCGTTGTTCGTTTTTGGTTAGGAGGAAAGAAAATGAATAGCTTACCCATATTTGTTGTCATTAGGTCATTACAATCTTTTACAGTCTCTCCAACACATTCATATGTTGGTCTGACTGCTCAATAGTTCAAGCACCTTAATGCTTTATGTACATGTTCAACCCTTCAATTGAGTAACAACTTCAAAGGTATAAGCCATTCTAGTTATGAAATTTCTTGGTAGGTCAATAGTCTATTTTCAGCTTACTGGAGATACGTCTCTTGACGATGATGGCTGTTGACGGGATTGATCTCTTTGTCCTGCAATATAATTCCGATTACAAGATCTCGATAATGGATAAACAAAAAGAAGCAATATACTGCTAGAATACCACACAATTTTTTCTTTGATCTTCCAAACTCTCAATCGAACAACAATGGCGAGACATGGGGCGAGAGGATACTAAATGAAGAAAGTATACGGATTTAAGTACTTATAGTGAATAATTAATAGTTTCAGTGCTTCTACTATTTTGATCCTAATCAATCTTACGTCCCAATCCTCTACCATCCTCCACCACCACTACTACAAAGCAAATACGACACAACCCTACGAAAGCACACGAAGATTGGAATTAAGAGTTTAGATTCTTGGTTTGTAGAAAAATAATTTCTATGCCCACAATCCAACTACCATAAAATTATTTTTGGCCGTACTGGTTCACGGCTTCATTGCATGCGTTCTATCCTTTAGTGCCAATGGGACAACTTCGACGTTGCATGCAAAGATCTCTCAAATCAAGAACTAGTCGGCAGAATAGCAATTTAAAAATCAACACCTTATCACTCCTCCAATTTCTGGCCACTTACCTGTTGTAAAAAAGTAATGGATACAAATGCTAAATACAAAAATAAAGAGAGATTAAAGAAATTTATTAGTCGAGGTGTGAGTAATCACTACACTTAAGGATAGATTTCACCACTAGGAATATGAAGCTCAGTGCCGTAGGATAATGACGATTACCCTCCAGAATTTAACGATCGCTTCTTGTAAACATGTACTCGTAATGTGAGGAGTCAAGAATAACTTTGACTTGATTAACTCAATACTTAAAGAGATCAAAATACTAATGAAGAAACAATTTTGTAAATAAAAAGAATAAAAGGAAAGGAAATCCTTGATGAGACAATCAAGGAAGCAACGATCAAATCAAGGAAGCAGTGGTCAAATGATCTCAATTGGCCAGAGGAGATTGTGTAATTTATTTTGCACATGCGGCAGCCATGGGTCGAGCCATGTGCTCTAATATATATGGCCACTACATTATGGGTAATGTTACACTAATCAAAAAATAAAATAGAAGAAAAAGAAACCGAATAATATGGTGTTAATGTGACGGGTAGATTAAGCGAATTTTTGAACCAAAATTTAAAATAATCATCACATTAAAATACTAAACGAGTTTCAAAAATTACTGTAATCAGGTCATTTTATTCAAGTCATGTTTGTTTGAGATACTAAAGAATGAGATTGGACTAAATTACTCTAATCATTATTTAATACTAAGTTTGAATCAAATTATAAGATCTAGTATTAAAGGTATTTTAGTACCAACCCCATTCTAAATGTCACCTAACACTATAAATAGTATAAAATGAGTGATGATTGGTTTTAATATCCAAAAGGACAACAATATCTATAGTCTAAAGAGTTATGTATTGATGTAGGGGTGTTTTTGTTTTTTGAATTTAATATCTTGCATTAATTCCTCATCCAAATATGATATTGATATTATACTAATTGACCCACCCCTTATACTAATCTCTAACCAAAATGATATAATAGGGATAGAATAAAATAGTAATTACCACAACTATGTATAGATTGGAATAGAATTAGTTATTCAATTTCATTCCATACTATGTGTACCGGAACCAAACATGCTTCCATGTAATGGTTATAACACCTGATCAACTCCAAATAATGTTATCGGCTAATTTTAAATACACAAGTAAGACAAGTGAATCTACGAATCTTACATTGTAAATGTTGAATATGAAAATTATTGATGATTATAGAATTTGGCGGGATTCATTAGTTCTACATGTTTATTCAAATATTAATTGATGACACCACGAGACAATTATAATTTGTTGGTATTGTTACATTGAATATTTTCTCCAAGGCAAATAATATTTTCAAAGTCAAGAATTAGAAAATTGTTATTTATATCCAATTTGAGAATCTAATTAATTATAATTAATAAAGTGATAGTAAACTTCATCTATTATTGAAAAATTAAATCACTATAAATTGGTGAGTGAAATTATTACCTCTGGACTGCGAGTATTACTCACTATCTTCAATCTTCAAAGTTTGATTTCTGTGGAAAGACCCAAACTGAGAGCAGCCTGAAGGTCGAGTTTCCATGCAAATCCTCCAAAGTCCATCCTCCACACGTCGCATGGCACTGTGCTTGAACGTCTCTGGTCATGCCACGTGTACCGTAGTTTTACCCTGCATGAGAACGCAGCAGGGTACAAATAATAGGGCAGGTGATGCTGATCTTGTTTCATCACCAACCACACCTTCAATTCCTGTGGAGTCTGTGGACTACTCACTTCATTTTCTTCTTGGCTCACCATCATCTTGTACGCCTCATTCACCCACTGCACTCTGTTCCAAACGTCCGATACAAAACCTGGATTCTTGTCAACCTCTAACTTCTTCACTCTATCCATGTCTGAAATTAACCCTAACTCTAACCCTACTCCATTTATGGAAATTGTTTCTGTTATGCATTCCATCATCACCAACGTTTCAACCGCCACCTTCTTCCTCTGCACCACCGGCGTCACATAAAAGCTAAAAGAAGCGGTTTTTTCTTTATCCAGAACAAGAAGATCACTGGATTCCATCAAATTAGGCGGTTTGCGATCAATAGTGCACTCTGATGATCGTCTTTCCAACAATCCCTTATCGTTTGATCTGTTCGGAAACAGTTGCAGAGTCACAACACTTTTCTGCGACCCATCTTCGCATTCCAATTCTTCTGCAGGTGATGATTTTTTTCTGTTATATTGTCTCTTTTTTCGTGCCATAGTGTACCTTCTCTTGACCCTTCTGTCGTTGACCACTATGTTTTGTCTCTCCGGCGTTTTCCCACCGGTGACAGAATTGTTTCCGGCAGGCTTGGGTGCAATCGGCCGGAATTGGAGCAGTACACGATTGATTAGCGACTTATTGTACGCACCATCGGAGGATCTCCTTCGGCAGCACCCTCCTCCCCTACCACCCATCCTTCCTCCTCCAGCAGGAGTCCAGCTTCTCTCTCTAAGTGTAGGTAAATAACACCATGGACGTGGACATATATAGAGGGACGGTAAGTGCTATAGCGTGGCAGCTGTGTACACATATTGGTGACAGGTTAGGTCACCGATGCTTAAATAATTCAGATATCTGAGTGCGGGACCCACTCAATAGATTTTCCAGCAAACTAGCCATTTAGAGATTAGAGAGTGTCCAGCAATGACGTAGGAAAGAGGACACCTAGGCATTTATTTAGCAATACACAGTGTTCAAGAAACTAAACTGTAGGGTCCACAGATCGGACACGTCTGATGTGCAATCTATATTGAATAGAGATGGAATGAATTAATTAGGCTTCCCACAGTTGAGTAATCATTGATTTCCCTCGCGATTAGTCGAGAGTGGGGATTATTTGCTATAAATAATTCAGGTGTCTTAATCAAAGATTTCCAGTTCAATTCAACCAAGGTGCAAGAAGCAATATGAGAGTAAGGAATGCTAGACTCACCGCCGTATTAGCGCAATAGAATTTTATTCTTATTTTTAGTGCCATGATAGGCCAATGTAGCATTTTTTGAGATATTTTTTTCATCTTAAGACTTTTTGTTCGTCTCTGCCTCCTTCCACCTCTCAAGTATATATCAAATGTTTCGATAAAAAGTTCATTTAATTTAGGTCAAAGAATTTACAGAATTCCATCACAACAGGGTGAAGTTCTGCCAGTACAAGGGGGTGGTGGCAGGGGAAAGGGCGAAAGGGAAAGGGGAAGAATAACGGATCCATCCAAAAAAAAAAAGAAAAAGGAGTGAATGAAAGAAAGAGTTCTCGCACAACTAAAAAGTAACGTACCTCATCGATCAAAGATTCAGATTTTGAGATGACAGTCAAAACCCCCAAAAGGAATGTAGTAATCCTCTTAATAAGTTTTCATAAAATTCAAGAATTATCCTAAAGTTCTTCGTTTTCTCTCTCTCTCTCTCTCTCACTTTAACATTCCTTCTCTATAACTGCGGTTAATTTCCATATATTAATAAATAAAAAAAGAGTAATGTTTCATGAATTTAAAAATTAAACTTAAAACATAAAAACTAGACTTGATAATTACAACTATTGATTTTACTGTGGGTATCAATATTTATTATGACTCATTATCTATTCAATGGTTCTGATTATCAAGTTTACTTTTTAAGTCCATCTAGCATTACTCATAAAAAAAATACACTAATACTATTGGAATATAATTGAAGAACATAATTTAGGGATAAAAGAAATTGTGACCAATATATGATAGTGAAATATATTTAATAATGACATTAAATGTATTCTGCGATCAATCCATTAGTTACAATGTATTATATTCTCAAATTATATCTTGCTGATAAAAATAATAGTATTTATTGACCTACGTAGTGAATGTAATTCATTACTGCCCTTGGATAAGAATGGATCGATATCAACATTGAGGTGGACTATTACGTACTCAATTGGCAACAATTTTATTACGTCAACAATTTAAAAGAAAAAGTAGAATTAGTTCATGGTTCGAGGATTTCACACTATGGAGAGTACCTGAGAGCCTGTTGTTATTGCCATGGTAGCGTCCAGTGGTGACTCTGACAGTAGCCTGAACCTCACAATACAGATTCCACGGTCATTGAACCATGCATGCAAAGTCGCTAACCATCCACAAGTCAAACATGACACCGTCCGCTTGCACTTACTTCTTTTGCCACTTGTACATCAGTCTACACGCATGCAAAACAAAGGTAACTAAACCCTAATCATTCATCCACAAGTGAACATTATATTCACCTAATTGTCGAACGTGTTTAGCGGCAGCAGTAGCCGCAACGTCATACAATTTCCCACAGCGTACCCTTTTTTTTTTTTCTTTTGCAAACCCTAATCTTTTTCCTTTTCATCTTTATCAGACTAACTTGTTGCTAAGAAGCGACTCACCGTAAACCAAATCGCCGGTGGCCGGTGTTTGCGAGATGAGACTCTCCGTAAAGCATATCATCGATGGCCGGTGTTGGGCGCTATTAACGGCAATCAATGTCTTGGCGGATCTGTTCACATGTTATCGGGAGGGAAACAGCTAACGGACGTTATCGGGAGGGAATGAGGTTGGGCCACTACACTAGAAAAAAAAGGTAGAGTATTTGATCCAAAAAAGTTTCCATTGGCCCCACGTGGAAACCGATGTATTGACAGATGAATCGACAACACTCCTCGAATAGCGGGACACGTGGGTCGACCTTGGATAAAGGGTTAAAAAGGTTGGGTGGTGGTGGAGAGCCGACCAAGTGCGCACACGTGGCCAAATCATGTTTGTGTAGCTACCATTGATCCACAGTAACCCTACGTCGAGTTCTGTTTAAAATTCTCTACATCAAATGGCTGAATCTCATATTTATTTTTGTAGTCAAGTGCGAATCTTTAATTTCAACTACCGTTTTAATTCGAGTCTCTAAGGTAATTGGACGGTTACTAGACAGTTGAGTGGCACCAAAAGGAGAGTTAAGACTGTTAGTTTGGAAAGAAAGGAGGGGTAATAGTAATATTTCATGAGTGCAGACGATAAAGTTTTATTAAAGAGGAAATTATTCTCATTATTCAAGAAGAAATGAAAAATAAAGTAGACATTTCACGAGTCCTAGAAGGGCCCGTGCCCGATTATCTGTGTGAATATGGGTCTAAAAGACTAAACAACAGAGAAAGAGATGACATATGAGTGATAAAATATCAAAAAAGAATTAAGTCGTCGAGTGGAGTTAAAAATAAATAGGAGTCGTGGGTTGGAAAAAAAATGCATAGTAATATTTATATTTTATGAATGCAGACAAATATATAAATGAAGACTAATATCAACATTTCATGAGTACACATCAAACACAATTTTCAATAATAAAAACATTTAACACTTGTGGTTGTTTAACTGGTGATGGTAACTTGAATATGCTTAAAGTTGAGTTCGGTAATTCGAGTCGTGCTCTCTTAGATCAGGAGCCTAGTTCGTTTTAGTTGCCCATGGAGCTCGAATTTAGACCTCGAGCTTCCTGCATCTGCCTCTCAAGGAGGGCAACATAAAAGACAGCTAGCTTCCGCCAAGCACCAACTCGATAGCAACGGTTGTTTATCCAGGCATAAGAATCGCAACTGCCCAAATACTCTGCACAACCATTGTGGGATAGTAGCAACCATTACAAGGATCACCCCAAGGATCAAGCGAAGCTCAGGGCCAACTATAAGTAAGGGGCATAACCCCCAGTAATACACACAAGCCATTGTATCCTGAACAACTATTTTGTAATCCCTTTTTATTAATATAAGTCCCATGAGCAAGAGACTCTTTTAAGAGTGGATTAGTCGAGTTCTCGAGCTGGTGAACCACTATAAACTCTTCGCGTGTTAACTCATATTCCCTGACCCCAAATCTTAAGAGCCTATGAGCTTAGACTGAATAACTCAATTCCCATTAAATCCCTATATTTGCTTTGTCGTGCTATAAACATCATCAGTTGGTGTTGTCTGTGTGAACGACTATTCCTGTTAAAGTTCTACTAAACTCCTTCAGTAATTGATGATTTCTACGTGCAATATGAGCAAAAGTCAGATGAATCCCCTTCGATTACAGAACCAACAAGAAGTTGCCACTAGAAGACAACAGGAAAATCCTCGTAATTTCTTGCCTATTCCAGAGGTTGAACCACCCCTGGTGAATCCCCCTCTGAATAACAAACTTTAGGCCCTTCGCCTAGCCAATCAGTGTCTTCTTCAACAAAATAAAGAGTTACCAAGCCTCCTCTAACATCTCCAAAGGGCACAACCAGCCCAGGACTGTCCCCTACAAGGAAAATAATAACACCTCAACCCCCTAAGAGACATCACTGAGAGGGACGAGTGTAGCCAGACAGTGGGCAATGCTTATTGTCGAGCTCAGAGGAACAACGACAACGAGAAAGTTTAGGGTCAAAAAAAGAGGAACTCACAAGAATGAATTTTCTCCACATCAACAGGAGAGAGAGGAACAATACTGGGAATAACACTTCAAGGAAATTCAACAAGAGTTCAGCCACATGAAGGAGGCAATAAGGGGCAAAACCCTAGTAACTATGGACGCCCTAGTCCAACAAACAGAATCTCCCTTTACTGTAGAGGTGTTGCATTTTCCCATCCAACTTAAGTTCAGGATGCCTCAGATAACCTTTGAAGGAACGAAGGACCCCATGGACCATCTCAACACCTATAAAAATTAGATGGTGCTATATGAATATCAAGATCTCATACGTTGTTGAGCGTTCGCCATCACATTGAAGGGCTCAGCTTTAGCTTGGTTCAATAGGCTGACCCCAACATCCATCTCTTCCTTCAGGGAGCTCTCTATTTCATTCGTTTTCCACGTCATAGGAGCTCGGATCTATCGAAAGCTGAGCTATCACTTGTTGAATGTAAAGAAGGTACCCAATGAGACACTAAGAAGCTATGTTCAGAGGTTCAATTCAAAATCTCTAAAAGTAGATGTCCTTGGTGAGAAATTTGCCCTCATTGCCTTTATTGTGGGATTGGGAGTCCAGTTAAAGGACTTGATGTTTTTCATTACCAAGAACCCACAAGCCAGTATGACTAAGATCCTTGCCAAGGCGGACAAATATATTAATGAAGAGGAAGCTCTCTTTTCCAAGGCTAAGAGCTCAACTACCCACAAGGAGAAGGAAAAGAGGAATGAGCAAAATCCAAGGATGGAGAGAAGTCGAGAACGCTCTCCATGAGCAGACAAAGAACACTCACCAAAGAGGAAAGGAAATATAAGAGATCGCCTAGAACCTCCCCCTCAAGTGCTACAACCAAGATACGCACCATGGCAATTCACTCCCCTCAATGCTATAGTATCCCATGTCCTCTACGAAGTACAAAATGAAAAGGTTCTGAGGTGACCACCTCGGATGAAGCCTGACCCCTCAAAATGGGTGGCAGTTACGTAGCTTTGCAGCACAAGATAATCAAAACCAAGCTCACCCTCCTCCTGCACCGCAATAGTCAGCTCTTCCATCACATTAGCAGCCGATGGGAGAGATCAGAGTAATATCAGGAAGATTTACTTGGGGGAAAACCAGGTCTACCAAGAAGGCACATACGCGAAAAGTCCAGACTGAAGACTTATCGGCTAAGAATGGACATAATGTTCTTAGATACAAATCTAGAAAGCTACCAATATCCCCACGACGACCCCCTGATGGTAAGAGTCATCATTGCCAATAGGAGTGTTCATCAAGTTCTCATTAACAATGGAAACTCTATCAACATCATCTTTGCTAATGAGAATGGCATTGGAGTGGTCCGAGGAGACTAACAAGTGACACAAGAATGCTACATGACATTTATGAAGAAGAAAGAGGTCGAAACCATATAACTGGATAAGTTCGATATGAGGGACGAACTGGAGACAAGACCCATGCCTTTAAAAGAGCTAGAGTTTATCCAACTCGATAAATAACCAAAGCATTTAGTGAACGTAGGATCAAAGCTACTCAAAGAGGTTAAAGACCTCCTTATTCAATTTCTTAAAAATAATATGGAGGTATTCGCCTGGAAGTAAGAGGATATGTAGGGGATTGATCCCTCAGTCATCACGCACAAAATCAGTGTGGATCCAACCTTCAAGCCCATTAAGTAAAAACGGAGAAATTTTGCCCTAGAATGTTAGAAAACAATAAACGGGGAGGCCTTCAAGCTCCTCCATGCCAAGGCCATCAGGGAGATAGATTATCCGACCTAACTGGCCAATGTGGTCCTTATAAAGAAGATCAACAACAAGTGGCGCCTTTGCATCAACTTCACTAATCTAAATCGTGCCTGTCTAAAGCACAGCTTCCCCTTACTTCGAATTGACTTAATCGTAGATGCCATAATGGAGCATGAACTGCTCAGTTTCATGGATGCTTTTTCAGGACACAACCAAATCAGGATGGATCCTAGCGATCAAGAAAAGACGTCCTTCGTAACTGATCAATGGACATATTACTACCAAGCTATGTCATTTAGGCTGAAGAACGTTGGAGCCACCTACCATCATTTAGTGAATCGAATGTTTCAGAAACATATCGGGACATCAATGGAGATGTACATCGATGACATGTTGGTGACGTCATTGAAAGCTGAGCTCCATATCAAACACCTCGAAGAATCTTTCCAAATCTTTATGAAGTACTAGATGAATCTCAATGCAGCCAAATGTGACTTTGGAGTCTCTGCTAAATAATTCTTGGATTTTATAATCAATAGCCAAGGAATAGAGGCTAACCTAGAGAAGGTCAGAGTTGTAATAGACATGTAACCACCTTCAAACACAAGAGAGGTTTAACGTCTAACGGGGAGGATAGCAGCCTTAAGTCGCTTTGTCTCTAAGTTGAGCGACAAGTGTCAACCCTTTTTCCAAGGCTTGAAAAAAAATGTTCCAGTGAGATGCACAGTACGAGGAGACATTCAAAGCCCTCAAGGATTACCTCAGTTCGCCCCCAATCAGTGTGAGACTTAGTGAGGGAGAGGTGTTCATCCTATACCTTGTTGTCTAAGATTTTTCAACAAGCACAACATTGGTCAGAGAGCAAGATAGAGCTCACAACTAGTCTACTACTGTAGTAGAGCTCTAAGGAGGGCAGATGAGAGATATTCGAAGATGAAAAAGCTAGTCTTAGCTCTGATAATAGCTGCAAAGAAACTCATGCCTTATTCCAGGCCCAGACAATTGACCTCATTGAAAGTAGGTCTTGCACAAATCAGAATTGTCAGGAAAGCTAGTCAAGTGGGCAATAAAGCTCAACGAATTCGACATCAAGTAAAAAAAAAATCAAAGTTGCGATCAAAGGGCAAATACTGACAGATTTCACTGTAGAATTCACACCAGGTCAAGAAGTGTCCCTAGATGCAACCCAACTGGTACCCGACCTCCCGACGTGGAAGCTCTCGATAAATGGTGTTGCCAACGCCCAAGGCAGCGGTGTTGGACTAATCTTGAGCTCCCCTGGTGGGATAGACATAGAGTACGCCTTCAGATTTAATTTCAAAGTTTCAAATAACGAGGATGAATACGAGGCTATGATCACTGGGCTCAACTTGGCCCATTCCATGGAAATAGAGCAGCTTGTGATTTAGAGCGACTCCCAGCTGGTAGTGAAGCAGATCAAGGAAGCCTACAAGGTTAAGGGAGAAATAATGACTCTATATCTGAAAAAGGTACAAGAACTAATGAAAAAATTTGTACAAGTTAATTTCATTCATGTCCCCAAGACTAAAAATTCCCGAGCCGATGACTTAGCCAAGCTGGCCATTGCTTCCCAGGAAAGGCTAGATAGGCTCATCCCGGTGGAACACCTAGCAAAACCGTTAGTAAGTCTCGAGGTTGAGAAGGTATTGTCTTTTCAGACTTAGCTGACATGGATGGACCCAATTAGAGAATACTTTCAGAATGGAATCCTACCTACAAATTTCAAAGAAATGACAAAGCAAAGAGCCAAACCATCCAGATTCACCATCCACCAAGGAAATTTATACAAACGAGGAGTCTTGGCACCACTCCTGAGGTGTGTAAGAGACGAAGAGATCGATTACATTCTAAGAGAAATCGCGACATTCACATAGGAGCTCGAGCTCTAGTTAGAAAAACCCTAAGGCAAAGGTTTTTCTGGCCCACCATACTTAGGGACGTAGTAAAGTTGGTCAAGAGATGCAGAACCTGTCAAGTGCATGTTAATATTACACACTGCCCACCAGAGCTCCTCACCTCGGTGATTAGCCCATGATCGTTCTAGCAACGCGGTCTAGACATACTCGACCCTCTGCCCACAAGCACGGGATAATGAAAATTTGCCCTAATAACGGTATATTACTTCACCAAGTGGGCTGAGGTAGAGCCTCTTGCAAAGATCATAGAGCAGAAATTCAAGAGTTTCACTTGAAAATTCATAATCTGTAGATTTAGAATCCCAAAGGCATTGGTCTCAGATAATGAAAAACGGTTTGACAACGCAAAATTTAAAGGATTTTGTACCGAGCTAGGCGTAAAATATTACTTATCAGCACCAGCTCATCCTCAGTCGAATGAACAAGCAGAGATAACTATCCAAACTATAAAAGCAGCTCTGAAGACCATACTCGAAACCTTAAAAGAATGATGGTTAGAACATCTTCCAAAAGTATTATGGGCTTACAAAACCACAGTTAGATCGACAGCTCAAAAAATGCTCTTCATCTTGGCTTATGAAACTGAAGTAGTGGCTCCTGTAGAAATAAGCATCTCATCCCCGAGAATAGAGCTCACCAGCCCCGAGCTAAATGACAAATCACTTCTAATCAATATCAACCTCCTAAAAGAAAAAAAGGGACAGAGTCTTACAGTGCATCTTTGATTATCAAAGGAAAACAACTCGATTTTTCCAAAAAAAAAAGTCAAACATAGGAGTTTACCATAGGGGATCTGTGGTTCTCAAGAAACTCCTTCCAGCTGAGAAAGACCCCACTCATGATAAGCTGGGGCCCAATTACGAAGGCTCGTATATCATATCCAGAGTAATCAAACCAAGAAATTACAAGCTACAGACCAAAGAGGGAAGAATTTTGTCTCATTCCTGGAATGCAGAGCTTTTGAAGAAGTTCTTCCAATAACAAAGAATTGTACTCTTGTAAAAACCTCACTGCAATAAACGATAAATTTTCAATTCAATAGTCGTTCTAGCAAAAGGAGAACTCTTTAGCTCATAAAAACAACGATGGGCTCTTTATCTCATAGAAATAACAATGAGCTCTTTAGCTCATAAAAAAAACTATGAGCTCTTGAGCTCATAGAAATAATGATGAGCTCTCTTGAGCTCATAAAAACAACGATGAACTCTTCTGCTCATAAAAATAACAATGAGCTCTTCTGCTCATAAAAACAACAATGAACACTTTATCTCATAAAATTATCGATGAACTCTTCAACTCACGAAACCAAGATGAACACCTTAGCTCATAAAATTAAGATGAGCTCATTTGTTCATAAACCTTCGATGAGCTCTTCAGCTCATACAAACAAGATGAATTTAAAACTCGCAATAAGCTCTTTAAACGATGATGGTCTCTTCAGCTCAAATAAGCCCCCCAGCACGGAAACAAAATTGCTCCCAAAAATAACAAAGTTCTCCTTGAAGCAAGGGGCAAAGGGCAGATAATCTCTTATTTAGAAAAAAAAAAAAATTCATTGAAAAACTAGAAAAAACAATCTTTTCATTCAAAAACGAGGAAAAACGATTACAAAAGACAAGAAATCTTAAAACAACAGAAGTCCTAAGTCTTTACAGACAGATCAGTAGTTGCCTTAGGCAACTCGTGGGCAGAAGAAACAGCAGGAGGAGAGTCAAAAAGGGCCTTAGAAGAGACAAGAGTTGGAGCATTAACCTCAGTAGAGTTAGCTAGGGCCAAGTTAGAAACTCCCACCTCTGCCTCAGAAGGAACCAACCCGTGAGCTTGATTCTGAGATTCAGCAAGGACTTTGACCCCTTCACCAGCAGGGGCTCTTCCCACCAAGAACACTAGAAGCAAAAACCTTGACCTTCATATCAACAACTGGTTTTTCTTTTTTCTTGTCCAAAGGAGGGTCAAAGTTGAAGTCTTGATTTATGTATTTATCCATGGTCTTATCTTAGAAGGCAAAATACCCTTTAGCCTAGTTCGTAGCAGACTCATCTTGGAGCTCCACAATCTGAGTATCCTTCTCTCGAGCCTTTGCCCTTTCAGCTTCAATCCTCTTCAGTAGGTTGATCTCAGCTTGCATGTTGTATTCATTCTTCATGGACTAAAGGGAGTTGCAAGCCTCAAAGGCGTCCTTTCGTGCCTGAAACAAGTTGTCGGTCTTAAGCTGAGCTCATCCTTTGCCTTTTTAGCCTGAGCCTTTACGTCCTCGTTGATAAATGTCAAATCTACAACCGTGAGTTCAAAAGGCCTTTGAGGATTTTTGAGACATCTCGACAACGCTCTACAAAGCCCGAACTCTAGTAACCAAGGCACTTACATGAATGGTCAACTAAGAGAGGAAAAAGAAAAAGCTGAGGTCAAAGAAAGCTATCTACTCAAAGTAAATATAAAGTTTAGAGAGCCTAGAGCTTACCGAAGCTACTTTATACAAAGCAGTTGTGGCAGAGGTGGACAAAAGCACCATCAAAACTTCTTGGATATCAGACTTAGGGATAACAGACGCAATGACCTTAGCAGTAAGGTTCACGTTCCTGATAAGCGAACCTTTACCTTTTGTCGCCTTCCTGACGAGCCTTCCATAGGCAAATAAGGAGCCTTCTCGACAAATTGGGAGAGAAAAGATTCTCACATGAGAGGAGAGGTGGCCTCAAGGGCCCAGCAACTCTATCGATAAAGGGAAAAATGAGACCCTAGCTGGTCCAAAGGTCTCCACGGAGGGAAGAGGAGATACGTTGAAGTCATCTAGGGAAGATGGATCTCTT